GCCAGCAATTCACAACCTGCTGAAGATCCGGTTGGACGGCCTATGCCATTGCAATCGGCAGGTGCCCAAGTAACTGGAGAAGCTATCTACACCAGTGATATTCGAGTTCCAGGTAGCAACTGTCATTTATATCAATGCTTTAAAATCTGCTTTCGTCTATCCAGATAGTTTCCATTCAAGGATGGTGAACTTAATTAATTTTTAAAAAACGCCATTTTATCACTGTAGAAGAGAGATAAAAATGAACTTGAGTAACTAAATTTGGAAAAGGTTTTAAAAAAAGGAGAACAAAATGTAACAGAGAAGAATAAGCACAACAAAAATATGGTGCATTACAGAGTTAGAAACCAAAATAATAAAAAAATACAAAATATTGGGACGGCAAAAGACAGCAATTGCAGCTTAAAGACGAACAGCTGAATAATTGGAAGTTGAGAGAGATAAAATGATGGCAAAAACCTTCTCCCGCCTCTCCAAAGTTCCCCAATGAGTACATACCAGCATTATTTTATGTTGAACAAACACATGTTGTTCTTACTGACCAACACCATACCTTAGCTTTAACATAAAATTTCTTTGTCCTATGCCTACTTTTAAATCGCGTTTTTGTCGACAAGCACTGTTTTATGAAAAGCTTATTGCATTGGTAAAGTACTAAAATAGTTTATAAATACTAGTAACTTTTTTTTGTTTTAACTTTTGCAGGTTATTATAACCTTTCATCAATTCAAAATTTTCTATTAATACAGAATCCATAAGAATAATTTAATAAAATACAGTTATGAAGATACCTGCAACTTTAACAGTTAATTACCAGAGAAATCAACATATTCAGAAGCCAGACTAAACAAACTGTTTTAACCACTTTGTACATGCTTCAAGTCACGGAATTTATTTCCATCAATGAATAGTTCAAAATTCACAGCAAAGTGATAATCGGTAGGTGGATGCCTGGCAGAGCGAAGTAAATGCGATTGAACTTAACTTCACAGTTTTTCATCTTTTTAATTTTATTTGACATAAGAGATTTTATGTAATCATGCAGTAAAGTACTTCAAATGATTTTTTGGTAAAAGTGTTTAGGAATTTCACTGATATTCTCTGCATCTCCGTTGATGGTTCGAAGAAGTTAGAAATTCTCTTACAAATTTTTTTCTTCTTTCAAGCTGTAATCATTACCTTTCACAGATCAAGGACTGTTGTTGGAAGCTATAAGAAAGATTAACTGGCATCTACAGGTTATTTAGCCTTTTTACAGCAGATATACAGTTCTATTCAAGTAAAAACCGGGTTTAAAAAGCAATTGTCCTCGATAGGGTAAGAATGCCATTGTTAAGCTACACAAACACACTAATTGTAGCGCTTTAGACTCGAATTTTTTGTTATTGAAGCATCTTGTCTGTTTCCCTCTTCTTCCTGCTTGTTGACTGGCAACGAGTCGTTTTTTCGTGAGACTCCAGCTTCTCAACTCACTACATTAAGTAATATAATTTTTGATCATTCTCAACTATTGTCTTCAACTAAGTTCTGGTTGTCAAGGTGAATTTGTCACCCAAAAAAAAAAAACCTTTTTTTGTATGCGATAAAGATTTTGTGAGAGTACAGGTTTATTAAAGTCTATTTGTTCTCAGACGACTCTTCAAATGCTTCAGCTATTTACCAGCTCACTGCTGTGAAAATTGACCTTTTTTCCTCAGAAGAAATAGCTGTTACTAAAAAATCTCATTTTTTTCGTAAACAATCTTCTAAAATAAATTTAAAAAAGGCAAAAAGAAACGGAACTGTAACGAAGGAAATAAATAAATAATAAATCCTTACCTAACGTATCACGGGGTGTTTCTTTTCAAACATCTCTCTAAATTATGAATATCAAAAAATAAAACTTGTACATTTATCATTAACCACAAAATAACCTAATCTTATTGGCATTTAGTTGGTTATAATAAGTAAGACGAAGTTAACCTAAAAGTATTGACTTTCCAGATATGTTGTATGCATCACTGGTTCAAAGTACGGAAGCCCACGCGAAAATAGTTAGCATTGACTGGAGTGAAGCCTTAAATGATCCGGAAGTTGTTGATTATGCTTGTGTTACTGATATACCTGACGGTGGAACTAATCAACCGGCAACAAGAAAAAAATTTAACTACGACAATACAAAAATTTTTGCTGACAAGGAGGTTATTTTCGATTTTGCGCTTCTTTGTTTTTAGATACGCTTACTCATCAACTGCCTACTAGGTTTTTATAATTCTTAGAACTACTCATGCGACTTTTAGGAATTCTCGTTAAAATTGTTTTTGTAAAAAGAGTTAACGAGTATCATAATATTCAAAAGTTGTAGGTGGAAGCTGTTGGTCAAATTATTGGTGTCGTAATTGCAAATACAACTGAAGCTGCCAGGCGTGCTGCTCAAAAAGTCATTGTAAAATATGCTCCTCTGCCAGCAGTAATTTCAATCGAGGTTTTACTTTATTATGATTATTTTTGGAGGTTGGAATTTTTAAATTGTTCAAGTGTTTCATTCTACTGAGTTTTTTGCTGAATTAAAATTTCTTTAAAGGTTTTTTGTTTATTGTATGATTTCAAAATATTATTTTATTACATTTGACTAGGAAGCAATCAATGTTGAGTCATATCACAGTGGTTCTCCTGCTAAATTAGATCGAGAATGGAACGAAAGCGAAGACAATTTTAAAGATTGTAAACATGTGGTTGAGGGAGACGTCAGCATTGGCGCTCAGGAACATGCATACATGGAAACGCAGTGTGCAATTTGCATTCCTGGAGAGTTTAACGAGTGGTAACGTTTGTGTACCTAGAATGATTAAAAACTTCTTCGTATTTACAGTTTTAGGTTGAAAGCGTTTTGGTGCCTAAATTTATATTATTTAAGGATAATATACTCGTCAAATCAAAGTACTGCTTGGGTTCAAAAAGATGTTGCAGTCGCGCTAGGTGTCCCAGAGAATAAAGTTGTAGTTAAAGTTAAACGTATTGGAGGTGCTTTCGGAGGCAAAGTAAAAATTTTGGTTGTTTAATGTAGGCTTTAAGAATTCTTTATTCATCATTTGACACAGTCATCTTAACGAGGTTCAGGATTCGCAATCAATTTACGCTTGGGGTCCGGCGCTGATTGCAGCACATAAAACAAAACGTCCAGTAAAATGCGTGCTTTCAAGAAGAGAGGACTTATTAGCCACTGGCACACGACATCCAGCTAAAAGCCATTACAAGTATTCATAGAGTTTCTTTTTTTGTCATGAAACCCTTTGTTTCTTATAAGCTAGTGTAACAATTAGCTAGAAATTATTAAATTCATGCATCATATATGACACAAACACTTTATGTAGCCTCTTCAAATGTGATAAGAAGTTTCTAGAATCGGTTGTGATCAAAACGGATATTTAGTTGCTGCTTCTTTCGAAAGCTATATCAATGGTGGTTACTCTACGGATTACTCATTGGAAGTAAGTATACTGCATTTACAGAAATGATGGCAAATTATGCTTACAAAGGCACTAAAGCTACTACATAGCCACTGTCTGTTATGACCTAAGTTGCGATAAAAGCCCATGTTATTATATACATAATAAGTGAATGTAAATGATTTAACACCTTTGATATCCTATATCATAATGCCGCTTACATTCCTAATCGTTTAAAGTTAATCTCCTCATACAGATCTGCTCTCCTCACTACTTTAGCAATAAGTGGGTAGAAATAAACACTTTCTTAAATCGTTCTTATTTCGTTTTTTATTTTCCAAGGTAAATTTTTAGGTAGCTTTTCTTATGACTTTGAATGGTGATACTTGCTATAGAATTCCGCATATGAAAGTGGTGACGCATTCATGTAAAACGAACATTGCCTCTAACACGGCAATGAGAGGATTTGGAATTCCCCAAGCCCATTTGCTTATGGAAGTGGCAATTGAACATCTGGCTCAAAAAACTGGAATTCCACCAAACAGTGTGCGTTGCTAAAACACGAAACAATTAGAGAGTAAAAAACATTGACAGAAACTGTAAATATATTTTAGTTATGTCTTAGTAAATTGTATGATCCAGTAAAAAGTGGAAATTTATTTGAATGTTATTTCTCCTACAGATTTTAAAATCTTAAGAGTTTTCACAAGCTTA